TTCAAATTAGGAATGCTCAGCCTGTATTTGCCTCCAGGACAAACCTAGCATCTACCCAAGGTGTTGATTTCCACATACTAACGTTTGACAATATTGTTGGTTTTAATTTTGTCCTTGGAGACTTCCTTGATTTCTTAATGTACTGGATTTATTGCAAGGAATGTCTAATCCAAGATTTAGCTGTATTAAAATAAAAAGCCATTCTGAGTATCTTTTCTAAAGTATTATTAATAAAAATGATTACATATAAAGGAATGATTTAGGCTGGGCACAGTGGCTGACACCTGTAATCCCTTTGGAGATTACAGGTACTTTGGGAGGCCAAGACAAGGGGATCACTTGAACCCAGGAGTTTGAGACCAGGACTAGGCAACACAGGGAGTTCCCATCTCTACAAAAAAACAATTTTTTTAAATTAGCTGGGTGTGGTTGCATGTGCCTGTAGACCCAGCTTCTTGGTTGGGTGAGGCAGAATTGCTTAAGCCTGGGAGGTCGTGGCCTGGACAACAGAGTGAGGCCCTGTCTTTAAAAAATATATATATACAAATTTAAAAAAAAAAATTCCCAAATGGTAGCAATAGTTGCTTTCAGATTATAAATAATAGATAACTTGTTTTTCCTTCTGTATCCATATCTTCTATTCATGATTTTGTTTTGTTTCTTTAAAGAAGAAACAATATACGTTGTTTTTTAAAAGAAGTTGTGCATAGGACACAGTAAAAAAAAAAGAACTATTTTTTTAAAGCATCACTGAAAACACAACAGAATATTTAACAAGCATACATTTGCTTTTCAAATAAAATCTTAATTCATTCTCATAAACATCCTGTGACTTAAGTATCATTATCCTTATTTCTGCAGAAGAGGAAACTGAGGCTCAGAAGGTTAAACAATTTGCCCAAGCAACAGAACTGGGATTTGAATTCAGGAATACTTGTTCCAAGGCCAGTGGTTTTTCCACTGAACCATGTTGCCTCCCACAAGGGAGCATTTTCACATTACCACCTGCTAGTTCTAATTAAGAGATAGTAATTAAACAATTCTCCACTCCTGACAACAATATTTAAGCTACTGGCAATTTAAAAAAAATTAACATGAACAGCTCTTTATCTGCTGGAATATATTAAACCTAAACACAAACTATAAGAGATAAAAAGACTTCAGTATGACACAGTTAGATGCTTTTCACATTTAACTGCAAAGCACAGTTCATTACATTATCTATTAACAGGACATGAAGCATAAAAATGTTGTTTAATGACCAACATACTTATAAAAATTTTCAACTTGACAAATAATAAAAGAAATACAAATTAAAGTAACAAAGACATATCTATAAAATTGGCAAAAAAAATTTAAATAGTAATAGCCAGGTAGGGCCAAAGGTCCAATTCTAATATACCTTAGGAGAGAATGTAATCAGTAGAAACTTGCTGTAGGACAATTGATTATATGTACATTGTTTAAATGTATGTGGTTTCTGACCTAGTAATTCCTCATCTAGAAATTTATCCTGATGAAATAATCACAGATATGTGCATAATATTTAGATACCGGGTTGTTCATCTTAATACTTACTTATAATAGCAAAAGAGGGAGGGGAAGCAGAAGAGAAAAAAAAAAGAAGATGAAGGAAAGGAGAGACAGAAGGAGGAGGTAGAGGAGAAGGAAGAGAAAGAAGCTGAGATAAATCTAAATCTATAAGATTAAATTAGGTTAATAAATTACATACAGTAGATTGAAGTGATTACCAGAAGTTGTGACTCGGGATGGGCAAATTTTTTTAAAATTTTTTTATTTTTTTAAATTGCACTTTAGGTTCTGGGGTGCATGTGCAGATCATGCAAGATTGTTGCATAGGTACACACATGGCAATATGGTTTGCTGCTCCATTCCCCCGTCATCCACATCTGGCATTTCTCCCCATGTTATCCCTCCCCAACCTCCCCCGTGACACTGTCCCTCTCTTACCCCCACCAACAGACCCCAGTGTGTGATGCTCCCCTCCCTGTGTCCATGTGTTCTCATTGGTCAACACCTACCTATGAGTGAAAACATGCAGTGTTTGATTTTCTGTTCTTGTGTCAGTTTGCTGAGAATGATGGTTTCCAGATTCATTCATGTCCCTACAAAGGACACAAACTCATCATTTCTTATGGCTGCATAGTATTCCATGGTGTATACGTGCCACATTTTCCTTGTCCAGTCTATCATTGATGGGCATTTGGGTTTGGTCCAGGTCTTTGCTATTGTAAACAGTGCCGCTATGAACATACGTGTGCATGTGTCCTTATAATCCTTTGATTTATAATCCTTTGGGTATATACCCAGTGATGGGATTGCTGGGTCAAATGGAATTTCTATTTCTAGGTCCTTGAGGAATCGCCACACTGTCTTCCACAGTGGTTGAACTAATTTACACTCCCACCAACAGTGTAAAAGTGTTCCTATTTCTCCACATTCTCTTCAGCATCTGTTGTCTCCAGATTTTTTAATGATTGCCATTCTGTCGTGAGGTGGTATCTCAATGTGGTTTTGATTTGCATTTCTCTAATAATCAGTGATGATGAGCATTTTTTTATGTTTGTTGGCCTCACATATGTCTTCTTTTGGAAAGCGTCTGTTCATATCCTTCTCCCACTTTTGGCTGGGTTTGTTTGTTTTTTTCTTGTAGAGCTGTTTTAGTTCTTTCTGATTAGCACTTTGTCAGATGGGTAGATTGCAAAAATTGTTTCCCATTCTGTTGGCTGTCAGTTCACTCTAATGATTGTTTCTTTTGCTGTGCAGAAGCTGTGGAGTTTAATTAGGTCCGATTTGTCCATTTTGGCTTTTGCTGCCATGGTTTTGGTGTTTTAGTCATGAAGTCCTTGCCTATGCCTATGTCCTGAATGGTTTTGCCTAGGTTTTCTTCTAGGCTTTTTATGGTGTTAGGTCTTATCTTTAAGTCTTTAATCCATCTGGAGTTAATTTTAGTGTAAAGTGTCAGGGAGGGGTCCAGTTTCTGCTTTCTGCACATAGCTAACCAGTTATCCCAACACCATTTATTAAACAAGGAATCCTTTCCCCATTGCTTGTTTTTGTCAGGTTTGTCAAAGATCAGATGGTTGTAGATGTGTGGTGTTGCCTCTGAGGCCTCTGTTCTGTTCCATTGGTCCATATCTCTGTTTTGGTACCAGTACCATGCTGTTTTGATTATTGTAGCTTTGTAGTATAGTTTGAAGTCAGGTAGCGTGATGCCTCCAGCTTTGTTCTTTTTGCTTAGAATTGACTTGGCTATGTGGGGTCTCTTTTGGTTCCATATGAAGTTTAAGGTGGTTTTTTCCAGTTCTGTGAAGAGGATCACAGGTAGCTTGAGGCAGATAGCGTTGAATCTGTAAATTACTTTGGGCAGTATGGCCATTTTCACAATATTGATTCTTCCTAACCATGAGCATAGAATGTTTTTCCATCTGTTTATGTCCTCTCTTATTTCATTGAGCAGTGGTTTGTAGTTCTCCTTGAAGAGGTTCCTTTACATCCTTTGTTAGTTGTATTCCTAGGTATTTTTTTCTTTTGTAGCAATTGTGAATGGCAGTTCAAAAACAACAACTTCAAATGGTTCAATTGAATACATATATTTGGAAAAATATACTCTAAAATACTAATACCATCCTGGTCATTTTTTTCTCTTCTTAAAGAACACCTATATTTTCCTCTTTAAATTCATGTGTATTTTCTTGCTTTAGCTTTCAATACTTTCGAATTTTTCTAAAAACTAAATCCCAATTTCAACATTTACAGGCCAGGATACCCTGGGCAAGTTTATTGAAGTCTCTCAATTTACTCAAAAAAAAAAAAAAAAAAAAAAAAACACAATCAAAATCATAACAATAGTATCTACCTTCACAAAGGTAGTTTAAAATGAAATAACATAATTCATGTAGAGACAGTAACACAGAGCCTGGCAACTGTACGCTATCAATTGGTGGAATATATGATGTGGTGGTTAGGAAGACACATGCGAAATCTGACTCCCTAGATCTATTACTTACTAAGAAATGTGTAAGTTATGTCACCTCTCTGTACCTGTTTTCTCATCTATAAAACTAGAATAATTCCATACAGTTTGTGTGAAGAGTACATAAGTATTTTAAAGTAGTTAGCATAGTGTCCAGTAAACAGGAAGTTAACAATAAATTTTTGCTATTTCATCATTGATCATAATAGTATTATTAAGATATTAGAATAGATAGATACTATTTGTATACATTAATACCAACTTGGAGTTGATTAATTGTATTAAGCACAATATCCTATACAGAGGCTATATCATTTTTGTTTCCCTGGATTTAGTTCCATTCCAATGAATATAATCTCACTAGTGAAAAATCCACAGTTGTATAATAAAAAACTAGAATTCTATTATACTTTGTAGCTAACATTTCTAGAAAATACTATAGTCCTAAATCCATTAATGTAATTTTGTCAGTGACAACTTTTAAATGATAGCTTCTTTTTTTTCCTTTGAAATACCTTTACCACAAATATTTAACAGAAAGAAGAATTCTTTCTAACTAAACCTCTTTCCTCTCCACATATGCACTTACATAAGAATCATAGCAACCCAGACCAAAACCTTCCAGAATCCAAAAGATGCATGGAGTTTCCAATGTCCATGGGGTACAAAACAAGAAAAGCAAATATATAAAGAGAGGAAGTAGTAAGATAAAAGAAACAAAAAATTTATTGTTAATAATTTTATTGTTAATAATAATTGTTATTATTACTGGAAAAGATCTTCACTTTGTTTTCAACTGGAAAGTAAAGACTACTTTTACCTTCTCAATACATGTGAATGCAGGCTTATAACTGAGGTCTCAAAACCATGTTTCATTCTATCCTCACAGAATAAAATTTCACATCTTGTGATCTATTCCCTATTCAACAGATATCACAATTCCCTCTAAGATCCACACAAAGAGAAAATATCCCTTTATGTAAATATCCCTTTATTCTCTTACCTTAACAGCTTCTCCAAGAGTTTGGTTTTTGTCAGCTTCCTCGCTGGAGTGCAATTCAAGTCTGTAATTCAATTCCTGTAGTTGTTGTGCCTGCTCATTCAATAGCATTTGTGCCTGCTGTTCCCGAAGTAATGCATTATTTAGCTCTTCACATGCACTTTCAAACTTCTCATGGGTGATCAATTTCTTTAAAAAGTGGGAGGGGAGGAGAAATCAGTTATAAAGCTAACTGCATTGTTTTATCATTGAATTTTCAAAACTATATTTGTTAACATAGGGAATATAATATGAACATTTCTAGGCACTTGATACATGAAAAAAATACAATTAGCTTTTCTTAATTTCATAAGTCAAGATAAAAATACTACTGTGATTTTTAAAGCACAATAGCCATCCTTAGTTATCATTTTCAGTCAAATAAAATCTTAGAAAACTTTTCAAATTCCAAATAAATCCATAATGCTCAGTTTAAATCTTCATACATGAGCACTTTTCATAAAGATGATGTTTGTGGGGATTAAAACCTTTAACAAATTCCTTGGCTTTTAAGTGATTACCTAAAAGTTTGTGTTCAGTGTATGTTATTATTCAGGTCTCCCAGTCAAATGTCTTCTCTTCAGCAGGTCTTACGTGACTCTACCTCTCCCAACTCCCACTCACTCTATTATGCTATCTTATTTTATTTTCTTCACAGCCATTGTCATTATCTAAATTCATCTTGCTTTTTTTTATTGCCTGTCCACAGCCTGCCACCAACTACACATATAAAGGTGTAGCTCCACAAAGCAGGGACTTCATTTAGCTTTCATTCAACATTCAGAAGAGTGCCTGACACTCAGTGAGTGATCAGTATTTGTTGAATGAAAGAATATTCATTTATAAGCATCTGCCCACAAAGTGCACACCATAATATACAACACGGTTTTTACAATATTGTGACTGCTTTGGAGGGCACAGTACTCTGCTCTGGAATAACTAACGACAGTTCTAGATAGGGATGTAGAATCCGGGGCAAGACATGCTTGTATAATCTGTTCAAAACATTTAAACAAATGAAACTTAGATACAACAAACAGCAGAGGCATCTTGAAGTATAAAGGAGAGGAAGGTTTCACAAAAGGTAGATAACCCGGGAAATACATAATGGAAAACTCAAGGCGATCATTCAGGCCACTTAAATACACAAGGCATACATGTATCTATTTAAAATTTCTAACTTTCCCATTGTTAAAAAAGGATTTGAGGTGGATTAATATCATTAGCCACAAATATAAAGCAGGTTGATTTGAAATTTCAAAAAATCTTGGAGGAAAAAACAGGAAAAAAATCCTTTTGATTCTAAGCATCTAAGTATAAATTATTGTAACTGAATATAGACTTTGATTTTTCTGACAAATAAGACAAAAATAGAAAAGCCTTTCTCTCTGTATGAACTGCAAACACGCAAAAATAGAAAAGTCTTTCTCTCTGTGTGAACTGCAACCATGCAGTTCATATATAAAGAAAGACTTCTGCTGAAACTAAGTTTCAGGATAAAGCAATTACATAGGTCCTTCTATATTAGACTACATAAGCACTCAGTTTCATTTTGGCACCAGGTACCTTGCCTGCCACTTCCATGAAGCAACTGTCTTTTAAAACTCTTATTTCTCTTTTTAAGGGTGCATTCCTCAACAATTTAAGAGTGCATTTCTCAACAATGAAGACAATTTAAAAGCCAATAGTGTAGCATAAAAACAGATATCTAATGATTCACCCTAGTTAATATAAATTAATGAAAATGATCAGAAGCCACAAAGGAAATTTGCCTCATTTTCTGAAAGTCACCTAGTAAAAGGTATATCTAATAAGTCACTGATACTTGTACAGTGCTGGGACGGTACAGAACACTCAACTTTTTACTCCCTGTGAACAGCTGCTGGACTCCCTATACTGTGCTATTATAACCAAACCCTCAGCTTTCAAAACATCAAATCCAACAGTCTCCTCTCAGCACTCCAGTTCTATTTCTATTTATTAACATCCCTCTATGCTCTGGGTCTTGTGAACATATATTTTTGTACCTAATCTATCTTTAATTTATTGTGTTGTTTAAAATTAACACTCCTTGCCATGAGACCATTCTGTCCTTTTCAATTCACTTGACCATCAAGTGAGTAAAGATCTTTCCATCAACATCCCCACCATTTTGCAGGACTTTCTTGTTCTAACAGAATGTGTGTTCCCTTCACAGTCCTCCAAAATTTTCCCTTTACCTAAAAACTTAATTTTAGCCTCTCTCTTGTCCATCCATCCCTCCCAGAGACTGGCTATATTCTGTTTATTCGTCTGTAAAGTAAATAAAATCAACCAAGTATAGCAATGCAGAATAAGAAAGATGTCGTGTGAAAGCAAGTGTAAGGAGCTAACAAATGGGGAGGTTAGCTGTTAAAGGACAACTATCAGTAGATGGACATAATATTCTAAAACCATTAAAGTACTAAATAGCTTTTGGTGGGCAGGATGTTTTTCTTTATATTACAATTTTAAACCAACTGTAAAGAAGTTATTTTATTTTCTCCAATATATTTTGTAAGAAATCAGTGAGAGACAACGGTTGCAGGCATGCTCTCCAATTTTCTTACAGGAAAATAGCATCTTTTTTTCATCTAGTATGTTTTTAACAAAACAACCCTTTATTAACACACCTATGTATCAACATTAACCACTATAATGAAGTGGATAAAAGCATGAGTTTTACAGCCAAACAACCCAAGTTCAAATCCTATATTAACACTAGCACAATTACATTATCATAGGATTAATAACTAAACTACTATACCTGCTGCTGCCTGTTAATGCAAATATTAAAACTGTGAATTCCAAATTAACCAAAGATACACTTAAAAGCACATTTAAACTGAAGTTATAGTAGCTGTTTTAAGTTGTATACAGTCTTGAAGTTTCAGAGTAATCTTTTAACTCTATGTTCCCATATCCACATTAAAAACAGCAATGTTAATATCCCAACTCCAAACAGAATATGTGGATGTCTGCATTATATTGTGCTGCATACACTTATGCATTTTGTTCTTGATCTAATGGTATTTGGCATACAGCCTTGCTTTTTCAGCTATTTTCTGCTTTTTAAAATAATACATATAAATCATAGGTGGACATGAGACAATATTTCTTTGGGAAAGCAATTTGATTTCATACTAAATAATCTAATTTATTCAAAATACTCAATATAAGAAGAAAAGAAGCCACGTGTGGTGGCTCACACCTGTAAACCCAGCACTTTGGGAGGCCAAGGTGGGTGGATCACCTGAGGCCAAGAGTTCGAGACCACCCTGGCCAACATGGAGACACCCCATCTCTACCAAAAATGCAAAAATCAGCCAGGCATGGTAGCAGGTGCCTGTAATCCCAGATGTTTGGGAGGCTGAGGCAGGAGAATAACTTGAACCCAGGAGGCGGAGGTTGCAGTGAGCCAAGATCACCCCACTGCACTCCAGCCTGTACTACAGAGTGAGATTCTATCTCGAAAAAAATAAATAAAAAAAAGAAGAGAGGAAATCTCTCTCCCTGCAAACCCCTCAAGCCCACCTACATCAGCAACTGGAGGCATTTTAGAAGGGAAGTTTTCTGAAGAAAAAGAAATGTTATTAATAGGGTTTTGAATGATTTGAAAAATCAAACATAATAAAACTTAAAGAAAAAAGGATATCAAGATAAAGAAACAGATATCACCAAAGCAATAGTTTTCTAAATGATATATACTTACAGACTGCTTAAATTCATTTAATTGCATTTGGAGACCCTGGGCTTTGTCAAGCTCCTTTTTCATTTCATTCACACTTCGTTTGAATTCTGTGACCTCTAAGCGTAGTGAGCGGCGCTCTACTTCTGCAGCATGCAGTCTTTGTGTAAATCCAAATATTTGCTTCTGCAATGATGCTGTGCTTTTCTATTGTTAAACAAGAGCAATTTTACAGTAACTACAGATGGACTAACAATAGCAATAACCATTTTTACTAAATTAAATGTAACTTCGATTATCCAAAAAACAGTACCAGCTATTACAGAAACGTAGAGGTGAAAACTTTATTTTTTATGTCACCAATGATTTGGCTTTTGAAAAATGAACACCTAAAGAAAAGAAATAATCTGTGGCTAAACATGAAACTGACAGCTGTTTGGGTCTCATACAATTCTGTTTCGGTGCATTTATAGAGAACAATAAACTTAGTACTAATGTCATGATTTTTTTTTATTTTTTTGAGACAGTGCTTCGCTCTGTTGACCAGGCTGGAGTACAGTGGCAGAATCTCATTCCATTGCAACCTTCCACCTCCCCAGTTCAAGCGATTCTCATGCCTCAGCCTCCTGAGTAGCTGGGATTAGAGGCACCCACCACCACACCTGGCTAATTTTTGTATTTTTGGTAGAGACAGGCTTTCACCATGTTGGCCAGGTTAGTCTCAAACTCCTGACCTCAGGTGATCCACCTGCCTCAGTCTCCCAAAGTACTGGGATTACAGGCATCCGCCACTGCACCTGGTCCATGACTTGTATTTTGATATTTTGGACACTTGTTTGGAAGTGTTTTTATTCACTTTAATAAAATTTTACATGAACTCTAAAGAAGATCCAGGTACATTCGTGTACAACTAATAATTTAAACTTTTATAAATTAGGCTGATTCAAAATTAAACCTACAAGTTCTTAGGTTACTACTAAATAAAAGTTTATACATACCATAATGGGCACATGGCCACACAAACCATATTTTAGGGCCAGGGTGTTTACTTTATGAAGTCCATGGGCCAGCCTCTGAACCAGAGAATCTTTTTCTACATATGTAATACTCCTGCTACTGTGCAGAGGTATACATTCCATTACCAGACTAATTTTTTCCATGAGTTTTGCAAAAGAATTCTTGGCTGCACCTATGAGTAAATGTCCACAAATTCTGGAATTTGGATCTTCATAGAAAAAGAAAAAAAGACACAAAAAATGTGAATTGTCTCTTGTTCATTTCACAACACTGCTGATCACATAATGAAAATATTTTTAATTACATAATTCCCATTCACCTGTAGTAATTCATTCAAAAAGTTCCTTCCCACATTATTTTCACTATGAAAAAAAGGAATTCAGAAAAAAGCTCACCTACTAAAGAATGTAACAAAAAAAAACCTGCATGTATTTACAGTATGCCATTCACATGGAATACTATGGCACTAAAAATTCATCATTCTTTTCTTTGTTTTAAAACTTAACATAAATCTATTTTCTATTTACAACTACTGAAGCTTGTTACCTTCATGCCATACTATTTGTATTCTCAGACAAGAAAATATAATTTGCCTTATTCCAAGGCAATTAAAATTTTACAAGTACAATTACTTATTTCCCCACAGGATTTTGGTAATCAACCTTCTCATATAATGGACCTAAGGTCCCAGTATATCCAACATGGCCTGCTTACTGCTAGATTCATCAGGTCTGTAATTAATAATTGTATTTAATGTTGATAAATAAAATTGTCAGTGCTCTTTCTACTAATTGGTATTCCAGATAATGGTTAATAGGTTTATTTATGCCTTAATAAAGTCATGTAATTTCGTTTTCCCTCTGCTACGTAGGTCTTAATCTGTCATTACTTGTCTTATGATACCATCCATGTAAAATGACAAGCACAGAAAGATTATTTAAATTGACAGTATAACATTCTACATTTTTAAGAGCCTCTGCTGTTGGTGTTAATTTAAATCTAGTCTTTACATCATAAGCACAAAAAGCAAATTTAGCTAGTCTTACCCAATTAAAAATGTTTCATACTTCTAAGAATACATACAGTTCAAGACCGAAGAGCAATATTGACTGAGAAGATAATCAGCCAGTGGTTTTCTACGGCATAAAAAAACTGTTTCATGGAGATTCTGTTCTAAGATTTGAGCTATATTCTACTTATTTTATTCTTCAATGTTTAACGGAAAGACAAATTTTAAAATCTATGTAGCAGTCAGAATTTGAAAATGATCTTGCTTAGGAGTTATACATAAATTGGAAATAAAGTGAATAAAAGCATAAAATCCTCCAGGTAAAATTTATTTCTATCAGTTATTGATGTATCAACTTCTAAGAATATAAATATAAGGCAATATGTTTAATTCTATATGCCACTCACTATAAATATACTCTGTGAGAGTCCCATGAAAAAAAAACACAAAGTATAATGAAAATACACAGTACTTTTGTTAACAAGCATATTCTTTAAATAAATAATGGATGAAAAAGAATTAAGTAGCTTTATATGGCAATCAACATATAATACAGAATACTGAGTTAAAGGAATTTACTAAAGTACTGTATGAATTAAATAGGCCACTGTTAAATGAATGAACTAAGAGTAAAATTTATTTTGTCTATAACATTCAATATAATACATCATTTCAATACCTAATATATATGTATTCCCTGTTTCTCCAACTACCTTGTAATTATTTATCTGTGTCTTTTTTCATCTTAATGAACTCTTTTTATCTTCACTGTGCCAGCCCAGCATATGTGGGTATTTTTTATATGTTTGATAGATTAATTATATTTATTTTTATTTCCATAGCAACTGCAACAATGCTGAACACAAGAATGCATTCAATAATACCAAGAGGAATTAATTTTAACTCTTATGCCAAAGATTATTTTTAAATAAACAATATAAAATTTCATTATTTTAGGAAATTTCAGGATAGGAAGACATTTTCACAAAGAGCCTTTAAAAGCAAAAAATCAATTGTAATTAAATTTTAATAAATAATGGTTTTTTACTTTGTCACAGAAATGTTTGTATAGACACTGACTACTCTAAAGGGTGATACTAAATGATAATATAATTCTGCAAGGCATACTTCTACATTTTTAAGAAGTGAAAGTCATAACTGCTGACTCTCAGTGAATTACAGTAAAAGCACCACATAATATATGCTATAAGAAGTGTTTTTACAATATAGTTCACATTATACATACAGAGTGAAATTTTTTAAATTTCAATAGGTTTGTTTGAAATTTAAATTTTAAATTTCAATAGGTTTGTTTTAAATTTCAATAGGTGGCATTTGGTTACATGAATAAATATTTTAGTGGTGATTTCTGAAATTTTGGTGCACCTATCACCCAGGCAGTGTACACTGTACCCAGTGTGCACTCTTTTATCCCTCATTACCCCTCACCCTTTCCCCCAAGTTCCCAAAGTCCAATGTATCATTTTTATGCCTTTAAATCCTCATAGCTTAGCTCCCACATGTGAATGAGAATATATGATATTTGGTTTTCCATTCTGTGTTACTTCACTTAGAATAATGGTCTCCAGTCCCATCCAGGTTGCTATAAATACCATTATTTCATTACTTTTTATGGCTGAGTAGTATTCCGTGGTATACAGATACCATATTTTCTTTATCCACTTGTTGACTGATGGGCATTTGGGCTGGTTTCACATTTTTGCAATTGCAATTTATGCTGCTATAAACATGCATGTGCAAGTATCTTTTTTGTATAATGGCTTCTTTTCCTCTGGGTAGATACCTAGTAGTGGGATTAGTGGATCAAATGGTATATTTACTTTTAGTTCTTTAAGGAATCTCCACACTGTTTTCCATAGTGGAAAACTACCAGTTTTCTACTAGTTTTCTACTAGTTTACATTCCCACAGTGTAAAACTGTTCCCTTTTTACTGTATCCATGTGAACATCTATTTCTTTAATGGCCATTCTTACAGGAGTGAGGTGGTATGGCATTGTGGTTTTGATTTGAATTTCCCCAATCATTAGTGATGAATATTTTTCAACATTCTTATTGGCCATTTGTATATCTTTTGAGAATTGTCTATTCATATCTTTAGCCTACTTTTTGATTACTTTTTTTTTTTTTTTTGACAGAATCTCTCTCTGTTACCCAGGTTGGAGTGCAAAGATGCAATCTCGGCTCATTGCAACTTCCACCTCCTGGGTTCAGGTGATTCTCTCACTTCAGCCTCTCAAGCAGCTGGGGTTATAGGCACCCACCACCACATCCAGCTAATTTTTGTATTTTTAGTAGAGACAGGGTTTCTTCACATTAACCAGGCTGGTCTTGAACTCCTGACCTCAAGTGATAACACCCACCTCAGCCTCCCAAAGTGCTGGGATTACAGGCGTGAGCCACCGCATCTGACCTAATGAGATTGCTTTGTTCTTGCTAATTTGAGTTCTTTGTAGAAGATTGTGAACATTTTTCCCCCACTCTGTAGGTTGTCTGTTAACTCTGCTGCTTATTTCTTTCGCTGTGCAGAAGCTTTTTAGTTTAATTGTGCCCCATCTATTTATCTTTGTTTTTGTTGTATTTGCTTTTGGGTCAGAGTGCAATTAATTCTATGTTAAATAAATGAAGAAACAAAGAAATCCTCTAGTGATACTATTGTAAAATTATTTGTATAATAACACAGAAATAAGAGGAAAAAAAAAGTCACTAAAGTTCCTCATGGGTACTTGTCTAGACTGTTTTAAATTTTTGACTTGTTACACTTAACAAATTCTTATGTTAAATACATTTGTTAATCACTTTCCTCCTATTCAATAAAATGTGTCTTGAATAAAAAGATGAACCCTATATTCTGAAATTACTTTTTCCAATAGAAGTGGGGAAAATGTATATCTAGGGCTAAAATCTTCAAAACAATTTCATAAAAAATAGTTTCAACCTGTTGTTCTAAATCTGTGGGCTGCAGAGCTTGATGAGGTGGGGGACAAAGGATGTTGAAAAGTTATTGCAAGAGTTCCACTACTTTTAACTGCACTAACCATTAGGCATTTTGATTTTTATTTAGCCCTAACAAAATATATGCATGAATAATATATATGCATGATATTGTAAGTATTAAAATTAAAAGTCCCTTGAAAACATTACATATATCAACTGCTACTAAAAATACATCTATCATATAGAAGAGAGGGCAATCTACCTTTTTTCTTATTAAAATGAAGTCCTCATACTCAAAGATTGAGAAATATTCCTTTAACCAAAAAAGGTACTAATTAGTAATGTTTAAAATAATGTTAGTAATGAGTAAAATAATAGTACCAATAACAAATATTATGATAATGAGTACTGTTAATAATGTTAGTAATATTAATAATGAGTATTGTTAACTAAATTAAATTTCACCTCAGTTCTACACGCTTGGTAACATTTTGTTAACCCTGACATCTCCATTTCCCTTGCCATATTCCCATTTCTTGTTCTTAATGTTTCTCCAATTTATTCCATTTTCTCTGTAGTCATGGCCATATCTAAGACATACTCTTCTCCAGTCCTTCCCCTCTTCAATCCATTCTCCACATTGTAGACAGAATAACTCCTAACACAACACTAGGATCTCATCACACCCATTGCATTTACACCTCAATGACTTTCTCTAATCTAAGAATGGATTTCAAACTCCTTAAAACATGGCTCAAAAGCATCTGGTTCCTACTTACTTTCACAGGAACATCTTTCACTATTTATATGCAACTTTATTTACATGCGACTCCTTTTAAGTGACCCTAATACATCACAATCTCAAGGCATTCCCTCTGAGCAAAAATCATGCTTGTGTTCCAAACTGCTAATAATTTGAGAAATGTGAATATGGACATCATTTTTCAAACTGGGGAGGCAAACATTATAGTAAGATGTTTGCTTCAAAGCAATGTTTTATCTAAAAATTACTGGGCTAAACAAGCCTAGAAAACTACAAAAAAAAAGTAATAAGTGAATTTGTCTTATTGTAAAACATACGGATATACACTCATGAAAAAAGCCATATGATACTGGTAGTAGAAGAGGTGGGGAGACTAATGGAGTAAACTAGAAATACAGGAAATAGATCCACGAATTTATAATAATTTAACATGTGATAAATTGTATATCTTAATCATGGAAAAGATGGATTACAGAATTT